TCCCAACGATTGCCCGCTAGCGTTCGTCGGAACTGAATATTAAGGGGGTAGATTGAAAGACCGATGCGACGAACACCTCACGTCGTTGAACAATGCGGTACAAAGACGGGTATTGGATGGCCAAGGGTGTCTCGCCGAGTCAAGTATCCTCCCAGAAACGTGTACTCGTGCCGTTTCCAACAACAAACTTCGTCCTATTAAACAAGGCCTATTTGACTTTCATCAGGCCTTTCCAGAAGGGCGAATCGGTCGGCCTGACTGTAACCTGGGACAAAGTTTTTGTCAGGAGGTACTTGCTGCGAAGGATTTGAGCCCACATACCATCATTCTCCGATGAGAGCTTCCACAACCACTTGCTAAGAAGGCATTTATTCTTAACTTCTAGATTCTCAATACCTAGACCCCCTTGGTCTTTCGGTCTACAGATGATATCCCATTTAGCAAGTCGATATTTTCTTTTAAGCTCATCACCCTGCCAAAAGAAACGCGATCGATAGAAGTCCAGTCTCTTCCTAACACCAACTGGGACCTCAAAGAACGATAGGAGAAACATTGGCATACTCGTGAGCACCGAATTAACCAGGATTAATCAGCCTCCGTATGACATGAGCTTACCCTTCCAGCAACTCATTTTCTTCTCAAATCGGTCCTCGATGCACGTCCATTCTCTGTTTGTCAGCCTACGATGGTGGATTGGAATCCCCAAGTAAGAGAAGGGTAACTCTCCCAACTCACACCCAAACAATTTCCTATAAGCATTCTGTTCATCTTTGGCCCTACCAAAACAGAACAGCTCGCTCTTATGAAAGTTAATCTTTAACCCGGTCAATTGTTCAAATAGGCATAACACAAGCTTCATATTTCTCGCCTTGGCCAAGTCATGCTCCATAAAGATGATTGTATCATCAGCGTACTGAAGGATGGATACACCTCCATCAATAAGATGAGGTATCAATCCACCTACTTGACCATTTTCCTTAGCCCTTCCTATCAAAATTGCTAACATATCCACCACAATGTTAAACAAGATAGGGGACATCGGATCTCCTTGTCTGAGGCCTTTATGTGTCTGGAAGTAATGGCCTATGTCATCATTAACTTTAATTCCCACACTACCTTTTTGCGTAAATGATTCAACCTGTCGGTGCCAGGCTTCATCAAAACCTTTCATACGCAATGACTATTGGAGGAATGGCCATTTGACCTTATCATACGCTTTCTCGAAATTCACCTTAAAAATTACTCCATCTATTTTTTTGGAATGGATTTCATGGAATGTTTCATGCAGGATGACCACCCCTTCAAGGATATTTCTGTCCGGCATGAAAGCAGTTTGGGACTGTTACACCACAGAATGCGCAATCTGTGTGAGTCTGTTAGTCCCGACCTTGGTGAAAATTTTGAAACTAACATTGAGGAGACAGATCGGCCTGAATTGCTCAATTCTCACCGCATCTGTCTTCTTAGGAAGCAGTGTGATAGTCCCAAAATTCAAGTGAAATAATTAAAGCTGTCCAGAGAACAGATCATGGAACATAGGTAGTAAATCTCCCTTAATAATGTGCCAGCACTTTTTATAGAACTCTGTCGGGAATCCATCCGGTCCGGGAGCCATATTGTTTTTCATCTGTGCAATAGCATCAAACACCTCCTTCTCCGAGAACGGGGCAACCAGAATATCATTATCGGCAGCCGATAGCTGAGGTACATCCTCAGTCCTGGACTCATCGAGGGACACACAATTATCCTCCGGAGGTCCAAATAACTGCTTATAATAGTCGGTAATATATGTTTTTAGGTTATCCTGACCTAAAATAGTGCCCTCGTCTTGCTCAAGCTGAAAGATACGCTTCTTTCTGTGCTTGCCATTAGCTATCAAATGGAAGAACTGAGTATTCGCGTCCCCTTGGACCACTTTGCGGACTTTAGCACGCAAAGCCCACTTCAATTCTTCATCGCGGAGCAGTTCTTTCAACCTCTTCTCCGCCTCATTTTTAACCTGAAGCTCAGCTGGTGATAAAATAGTGGATTCGGCCTGTATGTCCAGGGCCTGTATAAGAGTAAGGAGTCTATCCTTTTCAATCTTATACACACCACTGAGGTGCTTAGCCCAACCCCGTAAGAAACTTCTCAAATGCCTAATCTTATTCTGCCAACGCTCTATCGCAGTCTTGCCTCCTACACCTCTATCCCATTCCCTGGCAATTAAGTCCAAGAACCCCTGACGTTCAAACCATGACATCTTGAAGGAGAAGGTGTTCTTGTTACCCACGTGGTTCGGCTCCCCTAAGTCCACGAACAATGGGGTGTGATCAGATATTCCCCTCGAAAGAGCTTGCACCGTAACCAGAGGGAACTTTTGTTCCCACTCCACGCTCGCAAGAACTCGATCAAGTTTTTCATAGGTTGGGTTTGGCAGAGCATTAGCCCAGGTGAACTTTCTACGAGAAAGCTCTATCTCTCTCAGATCCAAGCTTTCAATAATGGTGTTGAACATAAACGACCATCTGCCGTCAAAGTTATCATTGTTCTTCTCCTCTCTCCTCCTGATGATATTGAAATCACCTCCAACTAAAATTGGAAGCTGTTCTGACCCACAGATTCGAACAAGGTCCGCCAGAAACTCCGCTTTAAGCTCGGGCTGTGTGGCACCATAAACCGCCACCAAAGCCCAGTTAAAACCATCTATCCTAGACCTGACTTGAAACTTCACCGCGAAGTCGCCCATCATTACACTTCGGACTTCAAGCGAATCGCATCTCACACCTAGTAAGATACCACCCGATCTTCCTCGCGGTGGGAGGCAATGCCAATCGAAATCAATACCACCCACAAGAGAAGAGAGAAACTGGGGCGCAAAGTTATCTCTACCTGTCTCCGATAGAGCAACAAAATCTAACCTCTGCTCTAAAGCTGCCTCAGCTAGGAATCTTCTTTTAGCCAAGTCCTTCAAACCTCTGCTATTCCAAAAAATTCCTCTCATAATTCATCATGGAATTTTTTAGTGGTTCGAATCCTAGCACTCCTATGAACTGCGGAATCAGGATAGATCTTCCGTTTCCACTTATGCTTAGGTTTACTAAGCTCTGTCGCCCGGTCCTCATAACCGGGTTCACAAATATTACTAGCATCATTGTCTAGGGGTACATCATCTTCCTCAGAGTCATGATTGGGGGGTGCTAGATCCGCACACAGATTATCGAGCACTCTAACCCCCAATGCATCAATCTCATCATCATTCATTGGTTTAACTGCTGCAAGATTACGAATAGTCTCTAAGGCACATTCCGCCTCCAAATCTAATAGATCATTCACCGAATTGGTAATCTCACTATCCGTAGCACCTAGTGAAACTCCTAATTGGTTTGCATTATTTATAATGTCCTCATTAGAAAAATGCAATAAGGAATTAGATAAGTTGACGGACATACCAGAAGATAAAGCAGCCTCCTGAAGCTTGGCCTCCCTCATAGCGCACCGCTGCTGCATATCATCCACCTCAGGGATGTCGAGGATGCGAGCACTCATCCGTCTCCCCTCGGAGATAGGGTCCGGGATCCCGCCAAACGCGACAACCTCCTCCCTAGTAAAACATGGCACTGAATCCCTCAAAGGGTCTGCCGAGGTTACCAGAGAAGGCGTCTGCGGGCTCCCGATCCCCTCAGACGGGTGCCCCACACCAGGACCCCGGACAAGGGTAGGAGCGAAGAGGGGATGACGGGGGCCGCCTGCCCGCACCCTCCTCCCACCCCAGCCGCCGGCTCAGACGGATGAGCCATCGGCGAGGGAGAGGCGGTCCTCCTGACCGTCGGGGAAGAGGGAGGAGACAGGGCCTCCTGCCCCATCACCCCCCCAACGTAGCTGCTGCCGCGGTGGATACCGCCACCATCGGAGTAGCAGGAGCCGAGGCCGCCTGCCTCGGGCTCCCTCTCCCAGCACCGGCCGACCCCCTCGGGGCGGGCGTCACCGACGCCACCGGGATCGGGATGGGGATGCGAGAAGACGAGGCCACCTGCCCCGAACCCCCTCCCCCACGACCCATCTCGCCCGCAGTCGCCGACACCGGAGTCGCGTCCACATGAGGTGCCAGGACAAGAGAAGCACCCTCCGGCCTCCTCTCCGTAGCGCCGACCAAAGTCCTTGCCGGCCGTCCAGCAAACAATCCAGCATCCCCCTCGAACTCCAACGGAGGGAGCGTGTGCTCAAGATAATCATCAGAATCTACCCGGTCACTCCATAGTCTGGGAGGTGCCGAGGCTGGCTCAAAAGACCCAAAACGCAGAGTAGTCATGGGCATCGCTGGTGAAACTGCGGGCTCAACCCCGGTCCCATCCCCAGGCGACTGAGTAGCAAAATTGCAGTAGTACAGGCCATATCATATCCAATCGAAGACATCAGAAGTACACACGGGTGTGCCCTTTGGAGACACTAATCTGTTTTGTAACATTTGATTGATACATGAATTATCTGACAGTAATAATAGTGTCTGATGTGTCCTAATGTTTTGTTGAGTACTGTTTCTAAATCATACATACTTCTAAGTTCATATTCATCCTGTGCATTCATCATTTTTTTAAACAAACAAGGTTAGCATCACATGTGCAAAAAAACTCATCCCTCCCGTGTTTGTTCAAATAACAGAACATGTGCAATTTTTAAAAAATGTTTATAATGTTGATCTTTAAAAATGAAAATTGCAGTTTTTTTGTTTCCCCATATGCACATGGAGAGGCAAACAAAATAACCAGATAGTTCCCTAATATTATATGTAAATTTCACTCTGGTAAATGGAAATTGGTGTTTGCTCGTAATGCACGGGCAGTTTGGTAGTTGTAATAAATGGACTAGGAGAGGGCTAATCTAGGCTATCGAATCTTCATCTAGTGTTCCAAACATTTTCCACCCCTAAAAAGCAACACAGTCAACTGTCATGTCGGAAACCTAGGAGTTTATTGTATCAAATTTATTCGAAGCAGGGCTACAATACAAGATGTTGAGATTTAGCTTTGGGTGCCAGCATCGAGGTGGCAATTCTCTGGATTGAAGCTAATAGTGGGTGTCCGAGCATGAAGGTCGAAGATGAAGCGGTGGTTGATCTGTTGCCTTGCGCCGATGACTGTCAACTCCAAAGACGGGAAGAAGGCGATGCACATATAGTGGATGTTAGCATGGACGATCTCGAGAAACACATGCTCCGGCATGACCCGGAGCCCCGCGTTGTTATCGAAATGCAACGTCATGCTCGGGAGGACGTCACGGTGGGCCGACGACTTGTGGACACATAGGTGGTGGCCGTGCAGCTGCACGGGTTGTGCCCCGTGGATCTGCAGGTAGTGTCGCACCGCCGACTCTATGTGGATGTATGCCTCATTCACAAACACACTCATCTTTGTGCCAATGTCGATCACACACCCACCTTTCCCTCTCGCACCACGCCGAAACATCTCTGGTGTGACGCTGGACACCCGGATGCCGCCCACGCTGACCCCAGTAAGCTTGACGTAGTACCCGTCGTTTGCTTGGGCTGGCATAAGAATGGGTGTACTCTGGCGATGCACGTTTGGCAATGGATGGCTAGGAATGTCGTTGCCAAACCGAAGAAAGTTGTACGTGCTCATCCCCGGTGGGAACGGGCAGTAAGAGAAGCGCACACCTTCGCCTTGATTGATCTGCTTCGTGAAGAAGGTAGGTGGCTTGCTGGATTTCCACATTCCCAGGCCGAGGACACCGGCAAGGACTTCGTGGGTGTTGAAGTGCTCGGTGTGGTGGGCGCAACCAAAGACCATGCCAGGCAGTAGCTCAAACCGAACTTCGTGGCCACTTTTGGGGAAGGAGAAGGTGTCCTTGGCGAGGACTCCCGAAGCCGACCCATGGCTGCTCAAGAAGCCGACTTCGAACCCGCACATACCGTTTTGATGCGGTTTGTACAGTGCATGACACAAAATGCCATCATTCGCTGAAACATGATGGAAGGTCGGGGACTGGGTTGGGTCGAACACCGGGTTGTATTGTCGCAGGCAGGGGTGGCACGGGGCGCACTGCATCCAGGTCAGCCCGGTCGCCATGTCTAGCGCGAGTTTGTAGCTCTTGGACTGATGCCCCGTGCCGATGCCCACCATGACGGCGTACATCATGTCTGTCACTGGGCACACAAGAGGCCTTACGGCGTTGACGGTGATGTTGGTGACGGTGCCCAGTGGGAGGAGATGGTTGGTAATCCGGCACTATACATGGTTTGTGGCGCGCTGGAGGCTTGCTAAGTCATTGTGCGCCGACTGGTGGTTGGCGACGAGCCGGAGGCTGAAGCCACCGTTGCTACCGTTGAGCGGCCACAACGACGTTGAGGCCGTGACGCCATGGAAGAATGGCACGAGGGCGCCCAGGATGGTTAGTGCTAGAAGTAGTTTGGGCGCCATGGAGTATGGATCGATGGTGCTAGCTTGTCTAAAATGAGATGCATGAGTTGTGGACATTGTCAGGCTATAAGTATGTACTTATGGAATCCATTAATGTTTATGATATTCATTGGAGGGAATCTGTTTTCGGATATGCATATCTATAAGTATTCTATTGATAATCATCAATTAATAAGCCAATGATTAAATGGTTAGTAAACGAACGTATACGAGAAATCCATTCTCAGATTTCTTTAGTAAATGAGTAGCTACCTAGCCCTTCAAGTACATTAATTAGTCAGAGATTTGTTTTTTGAGTCTATTAGAGCATCTCCAACAGCCGCCTAATGCGTGGCGCTGAAAAAATGAGTTTACAGCGCGTAAGTAGTTTTTTTTGGGCGCTAGAAGACGTTTACTCCAACAAGCGCTGTAAAATATGCAGCGCGCGTGAATCCAGCGGTCCCATCTGCAACAGCACAAAGTTTGCAGCGCGCGTGACCGGACGCACTAAATATGCTGCGCGCAATGCCGTTTTGATGCGCGCACTGCATTAGTTATAGCGTGCGCGCGCTTTTTGCGCAGCTGCTGAAGACTTCAAATAGGATCCGCGTACGCTAAAAGCAGTTTTTATACCGTGCGTCGTTTATATAGCGCCTCTGTTGGAGATGCTCAAGAGCGTGAACTGGCCTAGAATAACATCGGCAGTAGCCCATGTGCATCGCATTGCAGATACCAGTGGATCCTATTTGCCGCCCACGGGCAGCAAATAGCAGAGGCGAACCTCGCACGAAAGTCATGTTTGGTCGTCCCTGTGGGGCTGTTCGGTACAGTTTGTTCCCTGCAAGCGCAGTGTTTTGTTTTTTTTTCTCTTGTGCGGCCTTTTCCGGGTTTTCTATTAGTATTTTTTTATTCATTTATTTTTTGTTTTTGATATTGGGTTTCCCTTTTGTTTTTCTATTTTTTTCTTTGGGATTTGGGTTTTCTCTGGATTTGTCTTCTGTGTTTCTCTTTTTTGATACTGTAAACATTTTCTAATATATGACAAACATTTTCCGAATAAACATTGAACTATTTTAATATATGATTAACATTTTTATAATATACAGTGAATAGTCTTTATATACCTTTAACTTTTCAAATATAGGTTGAGTTCTGTTTTATATACGGTGAAACATTTTTAACATATGATGATCTTTCAAAATATTGTATACACATTTTCCAAATATATGATGAACGTTTTTCATATGTAGTGAAATATTTTTAGCTTAAGTTGATATTTTTTAATATATTATGAAGGTTTTTTGAATATATGGGGAACATTTTTTATATACGGTGAACTCTTTTTAAAATATATAGTGAACATTTTTTATATAGTGTCTATTCATCACCCAGGTTGCAGAATAAATTATTCTTCACCTGATGTAATTTTACAATCATTTCATAACTAAATTACATTTAAAATACAAATAGTTATATTCATATTGATTCAATGCGTAAAATTTGAGAAAAGAGAAAAATATCATAAGACCAGAAAAATTACATTTTATGTACATTCTACACTATGTTTTTACATTTATAATTTTATGTAACAAAAAATACCTTTTACGGTGATTATATATTTTGTTACGTTCTCTTTTCACATCTGAAATAAGACAAAATTTACAAAACGTAAAGTTACGGTGCATTGATGTTAAAATAGAGGGGCGGGAGGGGGTGGGGGTGGGGTGAAGATTAACTATTCCTCACCACGGGTGACGAATAGTCAATTCCTACCACTAGGGTAGTTACCCACATGTCTCATATACTACCATTTGATACTATCTATATATACTGGTGGATATATATGTTAGGCACTTCTTTGCACTCCTTGTATATACATGTATTTGAATATTTGTGGACCAACCAGCGCGCATGCGGACGTAAGGCACGTGCATTCTATCACGCTCGCAATGGATCGACGTTGGACTTGATCCTTGATGCGTGTATTTTTTTTGATACATCTTTGATGCGTGTATGATAAGGAAAAGAAAAGGCCAGTCTCATGATGGATGAAAATCTGGCGGGCCCTATGACGTATGAACATTTCTTATGAACGCTCATTTTTTCAGTTTTACGAGTGGCGGGGTGGGTAGTTAACTTCAACTTTAGGGGCAGTTTCGATGGTAGACAAAAAATTCAGAGAAACAACTAACGAAGAGTTTATTTTTTTCACTTACGGGTGGCATGGAGGGTAATTTATTCAAATTTACGGGCAGTTTCTATGATATGCGTACAAATCTGAGAAAAAAATTAACAAAGATGTTTTCTTTCACTTGTGGGTGGCACGCTGGGTAATTTACCTCAACTTTAGGATAAGTTTCGATGACAAATGAAAAATTCCGAGAAACAATTAACAAAGAGTTTTTTTACTTATGGGTGGCAGGGTATGTAATTTACTTCAACTTTAGGGCAATTTGAATGACAAGCGAAAAAGATCAGAGAAATAGTTAACGAAGAGTTTGCAGGGTGGGTAATTTACATCTACTTTAGGAGCACTTTCGACGATAGATGAAAAAAAAGTCATTTCAGTTTTGTTGCATTGCATGCAAGAACAATTAGGGAGAAGGAAGACGAGAAGTTGAGTTGAAGCGAGGCATGCGTTTGCGTTTTTTAGAGAAAAGGCGTCGGCCGAGCCCGAGAAGAGCTCGAACCTAGCTCGACTTTGAATTAACAAAGCCATTAACCGGCCAGGATTACAGGAGCACCTCATTACAAAGAGAAGAATGCAACGCAAAGCGGAAAGAACATACATAGAGCTAGGCAGAGCAGCACAAAGGCAATAATGGAGCAACGTTGCCGACGACCAACACTACGCCTACACCAGCTAGCCAACTAGGTACTTGGGAGGATGGAACTGCCGTGCAAGCATTGAGCGCTGGCTACATCCATGGCCAAACTTGGGCAACACTGAGCTGTCTCCACCGCCGCAAAGGGCCACTACCCTTTCATCCAGGCTCGATGGGTGCCGCACCGGCGACCAGCAGAGTGGCTACACATAGCCCAGCACCAGGTGACCGAGCCGCCAAAGGAGAAGCAGCCAACTCTGACCCACGAGCAACGGAAGGCCAACCCGACGAGAACCAGTCAGGCAGCAGCAGCACGGAGCAAGGGACGTGAGCTGTCGGACGAAGGCGCGCATCCATGACAAAGACCGAAGAAGAAGAGCAGGACAACCAGGCCGCCATGCTTGGAGCCGAGACACCAACCGCTCCATGATGTCTACTACACAACCTTCTTCTTGTAGACGTTGTTGGGCCGCCAAGTGCACAAGTTTGTAGGACAGCAGCAAATTTTCCTCAAGTGGATGACCTAAAGTTTATCAATCCGTAGGAGGCGTAGGATGAAGATGGTCTCTCTCAAGCAACCCTGCAACCAAATAACAAAGAGTCTCTTGTGTCCCCAACACACCCAATACAATGGTAAATTGTATAGGTGCACTAGTTCGGCGAAGAGATGGTGATACAAGTGCAAAACAGATAGTAGATAAAGGTTATTGTAATCTGAAATAATAAAAACAGCAAGGTTAATGGAAAAAGTTAGCGTAAATGGTATTGCAATGGTAGGAAACAAGGCCTAGGATTCATACTTTCACTAGTGCAAGTTCTCTCAACAATAATAACATAGATAGATTATATAACAATCCCTCAACATGCAACAAAGAGTCACTCCAAAGACACTAATAGCGGAGAACGAACGAAGATATTATGATAGGGTACGAAACCACCTCAAATTTATTCTTTCGGATCAATCTATTCAAGAGTTCGTACTAGAATAACACCTTAAGACACAAATCAACCAAAACCCTAATGTCACCTAGATACTCCATTGTCACCTCAAGTATCCGTGGGCATGATTATACGATATGCATCACACAATCTCAGATTCATCTATTCAACCAACACAAAGTACTCCAAAGAGTGCCCCAAAGTTTCTATCGGAGAGTCAAGAATGTGTGCCAACCCCTATGCATAGGTTCATGGGCGGAACCCGCAAGTTGGTCACCAAAACATACATCAAGAGGCACATGATATCCCATTGTCACCACAGATAAGCACGGCAAGACATATATCAAGTGTTCTCATAAAAGACTCAATCCAATAAGATAACTTCAAAGGGGAAACTTAATTCATCACAAGAGAGTAGAGGGGGAGAAACATCATAAGATCCAACTATAATAACAAAGCTCGGGATACATCAAGATCGTGCCTTAGAGGGAACACGAGAGAGAACACGAGAGAGAGAGAGATCAAACACATAGCTCCTGGTACATACCCTCAACCTCGAGGGTGAACTACTCCCTCCTCGTCATGGGGAGCGCCGAGATGATGAAGATGGCCACCGGTGAAGGATCCCCCCTCCGGCAGGATGCCGAGAAGGGCTCCCGAGAGGTTTTTGGTGGCTACAGAGGCTTGCGGCGGTGGAACTCCCGATCTATCTTGATATTCGATGGTTTTAGGGTACGTAGGGTTATATAGCCGAAAGAAGTCGGCCGGGGAGTGCTCGAGGGGTCCACGAGACAGGGGGCCGTGCCCTGTAGGGGGGGGGGCGCCCCCTATCTCCTGGGCTCCTCGAGTATCTTCTGACTTGATCTCCAGGCCTCTAGGATGATATTCTTCCAAAAAAATCACGATGCCGAAGGTTTCATTCCGTTTGGACTCCGTTTGATATTCCTTTTCTTCGAAATACTGGAAGAGGCAATA